CGGCCGGGCTGCGGCCTCGCTGCCTCACGGCCTCACGGCTCTCCGCAGAACCAGAAGCTGTTGCTGGAAAACCAGCTCTTGCGGGAGAAGACGTGTCACCTCGCCCTGGAGAACCAGGAGCTTCGCTGCCGCTTGGGCTTAGAGTCCCTGAAGACGGAAGAGGAGAGCGAGTCCAAGGTGAGCGTTCTGTCGCGCTTGTGGCCGGCGTCCGTGTTCCGGCAGAACCTGCCAAGAGCTGCCCGGCTCCGAGACGTGACAGCGTGGCAGTGGGCGGGGAGGAGTAACGCGGGCAGGAGAGCTCGGCGTGAAACCGCCGTGCTGGGAACGGGGGTATCACAAACAGCCTTGTCCTCCCAGTGGAGGCCTTCCCGTAGACTGAGAGGGTACCAAGACCGAAGTGGGTACCACTGGTAGTGTAGCAGACAGCAAGCTAACTAGTTCAGACCCCTTTCAATATTATCTCATCTGCTTTTCTATGTTATCTTTAGAAGCGTAGGAACTGTTATAGCTGCATATGCCTGTCCCAGAAAAACAGGGGCTGTAGTGGAGGGGGTCAGGCTCTGATTTAACAGTGTCAAACAAAATCTGAGAAACGTATGAAAATTTGAGACAACTTTGGATGCATTCTTATCTTTAGGTTCGTAGTGCACAAGCAAGTGGAAAACTTAATTTTGGAGGCTTTTGCAGGAAGAGCATGATCTTCAGGGTTAGGTGCTGTACTGGCTGCCAGAACTTCTGTTGTGGCTGACTGGATATTTTTTTTTTTTTCCCCCCTCCCTTGTTGTGAAGGAATTGCAAGTGGATGAGATGAGATTGGTGACCGGGTCCGCTGAGTCCGCAGCACTCAGACTACGTGTTCCTCTGCAGCAGGTACAGGCCCAGCAGTTACCATTTCTGATAACTTCCACGTGGATTCTGATGACAGTGACTCTTCAGACTCAAAGGTGAGTGCCCACTCATGCACAAAATGCCCATGAGATACTCAACTGCTGTGGGTTAAGACTTGTAACTTCTTGATGACTTTCCATAGTTGGCGTGTTTTCTCAGACTTGGCACACCATACCTGTGGCTCAAAACAGCTGTTTATCTGTATCCACTGAGTACATGCCACTTGGAACAAGTCTTGTGTGCCATAAAATCTTACAGGACTTTGCCTGAAGCAGTCTCTTAGTTCTTAGAGCAAAAGTATGAAATACCAAAAGCATACTGTGCTTTCACTGTTGTTGAAAGCAAAACTCATCATTTTGCTGATGTGGTGGCACTTAGCAAAGCTGTTCAGACTCAGTCTGTCCCTTATGAATGACTTCCAAAAATGTAAGGACAGGCACCTTTCACCTTGAAATCAACACCCGAACACAAACACCCCACAGCCTCGGGGTTTGGTCCTGGCAGGTCTTCCTAAGCCAGATTCTGCTGCTGGCTATCTGGGGCCAGCAGGTGGTGTGGTGTTTGCATCTGAGCCCAAGATCTTGGGGAGTTTCTAATAGAGGCTGTGGATATCAAATGCATGTAGAATTCCATGGGGATTGCCAGTATCAATACAAAAGAAGTTAATAGAGTTTTCTGGAAGATGAGTATTCCCTTAACTGTCTGTTCTGATAGTGGTGGTCTTGGTAAAACTCCTAGTTCTATGATCAGGTTAGTGTATTTTAACTTCCAGATGTGAGTTAATCAAGTGCCACAACTGATGTTCTGCTGTAAGAGAGAATCAGCTGTCATTCTAAAACAGTATTTTGTTCTGCAGTCTGATCTCCTACTGGGATTTCTGGACAGTCTGGACCCAGACATGTTTCTCAAGTGTGCTGATTCGGAGTCAACATGCCTGGAAAAGCTGGAGGAAGAGATCTGTGGAGAAAGAAATTCCATACCACCCTCCCCCTCTCCATCTTTGGGGTCCCCATCAGCTAAGCTGGAGGCCATTAATGAACTGATAAGGTTTGATCATGTGTACACAAAGCCCCTTATACTGGAGATTCCTGTTAAAATGGGCAATGAAACCAATATGCTAGTGAAAATTGAGGAAGTATCTCTCTCTCCATCTGAAGACAAAGCTATCCCTGAGGTCCCAGTATCTGTGAAAGAGGAACCTGTAGACAGCTTCTTGCCTGAACTGGGCATCTCTCATCTGCTTTGCTCTCATCATAGCCCTGCAGCATCAAGGTATCTGTTGGATGCCTGTAGTGACTCTGGATATGAAGGATCCCTGTCGCCCTTCAGTGACATGTCCTCTCCGCTTGATGCTGACTCTGCTTGGGAGGATAGCTTTGCAAATGAACTTTTTCCCCAGCTGATCAGTGTCTTAACTCAGTAGTGTTAATTGTCCTCGGATAACTATCCTGGCAGGATGACAGAATATGCCCCTCTGGGGTGGGGAAGTCAAGTGTATTCTTTTCTAAAAGGTGTTGCTCCTTTCTACCCACACCAGTAGATGGAGTGATGGCCAACACCTTGCTCTTGGTGTGAAAATGCATTGCTCCAGGGTGTCCTGCCTTGCCCTCCTTCCTCCCATCAGTGTTGGCTTCTGAGGGAGGAACTTTTTTATCAATAATGTGTCAATCCTCCATGAACCTAAAATGTTCTTTTTTTAGTTTAAAGTGATAACACCACAATGTGCAGTGTGATTTTTGCATATAGGCAATTGGGTCAAAATGAAATAGTCTGTACATTTTCAAGATTTACTATGTAAATGCTTGTTTTCCGTTTGCTATATAGAGTTGCTTTCTTCATTTAATATTTAAAGGTGCAATTAAAGTGCAGTGCAGCTCACTGACCCTTTTTTTTGTGCCTTGGATCTGGGGGGAGGGGAAGAGTGGGCCCTGCAGAGTTTGAAACTGTAGAAATGTTAAGGGATGGGGTCTCTCAATGTCACACCACCTTAACGCACCAATCCCGCAGCACTTCCGTGGTGTCTGCAGGTGGATGCTTCAGCAGCTTCATCCTTGGCAGCACCTGCTGGTGCAAACTCTGCTCAGGGTCGGTGGGTTTATATGACAGCCAGAGCTGCTGGGACAAAGCATGGCCTGAAGAGGGACCTGTAAGGGGCACTGCTGGCCGGTAGTGGCACAGTAACGCCCAGTCCCCCTGAGGCTGGGTGCTGAGTGGTGCGGCCCCTGTGTGTGAAACCAGGCGAGAGGCAGAGGGGGTGGAGAAGGTGCAGATTGTCTTGCCACCAGAATTCCTGAAGCATAAAATTAATGCTGCAGGAGATAATTCTAAACACCACAGTAGGACTCTGTTGTCCTCATCGATTTGTTCCAACGTCAGTGTTAAAACCACTTGATTTGGGTCTCCCCAAGGAGACGCAGCCAGCCAAGAAAGTCCTTCACAGTCCTAAATGGGTTGGAGTTTACACTGTTCTTTTCCTCTCTCTGGTGCTGGAGAAGTCCTGTCTAAAGCCATAGTACAGTTCAAGTGAGTCAGTGTTTGAGGTTCAGCCTAGAAAGCTCAAGAGTGTTTATTATCATCCTTCAATATAAATCTGAACTGCTTTTTTCCCCCCTCATTTTGAAAACAAAGAACACTAGTTTACAACACCCATCTTTATCCTTCAGCTGCTTAAAAAACTCTTGAACAGAAGATGTTAAACAAAAGAACAAAGAGGTACATTCCTATAAATAATTAAAATTTGAATTTCTTTTAAAACTCTAGTATTTATTGATCTTTTATACAGAACTAAAGCGAGCTACACGTTCTCAATTTTAGTCTGAAGTAAACTGAAATATCTGAAAACACAAGCTATAACACCACCTTTTTGTATTCCTGTGCTTTGTTAGAGAGGGGCTTTTGGGTCTCAACATTTTTACACCAACTCTTCCTTTCTGCCAGCTTCAGGTTTGTTCTGTGCTGCTCTCCCCCCCACATGCTGTTGGAACACTGTGGAAGAAAGCAGTGACATGCCCTTGGGACTACGTAGTTAAACTAAGAAGCTTCTCAGGCCAGGAGAGTAATTTACCCTTCAGTTGACTGGACAAAGATCTCACTGATTTCACTTTTATCAGGAATCAAACACAACCATCTAAAAATATTTTAGAAAATTTATTGAAAACTGACATACAAAGGGTGATTTGGTCCCAAGAGAAGACAGACCAGAATCAGTTCTTCTGTATTTCAAAATAAAGTTTTTCCTAATACTGCATCATATTTGCCATTCCACTTGTAAACAGGGTTTATAAAAGTCTTTCAAAGGAAGCCAACAACAAACTGAAACTGTTACAAATAAAAAAAAGTTTTAAAACACCCAGGAGCTTGTTCTCTCTTACCCTCTTCTAACAACTGCTATAGCAAGAATCTTGCTCAGTCTTCCTGGATACTTGATTCTTGCTCTACCCCACTTCTCCTTCCCCATTAATTTGAGCAATTCAACCCAGCTCTCCTGCCACAAGGGCAGTAATGAATTCTGAAAAAATTAAAAGCTTTCTACCAAAGCAAATTTCTTGCACACAGTTTTTTGTTTTATTTTCCCCTCATCTTATTGTCCACCACTATATTCTTGTTTCAGACAGCAAAATAACAGGGGCCATTGATGACCTATTAACATCAAACAATTAAGAGGAAAGACACCCATGAAAGCCAACCTTTGGTACAAACATAACAGGAAAAACACGTGCTCAAAAACCATCTACAAAAACTTCTTCCTCTGCAAATTTGGTATGCAATTTGCATTTTTAAAAGGAAAAAACCCTCCATCTACATTTGATGCATTTGGGCCTCCCACAGTTTTCAACATCCTCTGCCACAATTTCAGTGTTGCGCAGATGGTTTCATCAAATTTTGGAATTTTTTCATCCTTTTCATCTTATTTAGGATTCAGAGCTACCAGCTAAAACAGTTCCAACCTTGAATTTTCACTATAATCCTGCAAGCTTGACAAACGGGTAGTTATTTGCAGGCACCACATTTTCCATGTGCAGTGACCAGAGCCTCTCCAAACTGCACTGCTTCAGACTCCAGCAATGTAGCATGTCAAAGGCTGCAGATTTTAAGCATATTCAGCAGCTTAACACTTGAGAGATTTTACATAGTACATGCAAGATATTTATAGCAGACTCCAAAATGAAATTAGACATAATAGCAAGATAAAGCTGCACACATTCTCCAATTTAATAAAAGTCCCAGAACGGTGAAGTTACCCACCAGGTTCCAGAGTAGTACCTATTCAAATGCTGGAATGTTTTTAGTGAAGCTCTGAAACATTTTAGTGAGAGACAGCAAATTTTACACAACCTTCAACAAGAGCAGCAAGATAGACAGGATTTAACAAATAGTGCATATCTTTTGAACAAAGTTTCTTGCTGTCAGACAAAAAAGAAAGAATGACTGCAAAAAGAGAAACTCAATCTTAAAAGTATCAACTACAGGTTATTCAACAGTAGCAAGTGTCACCACAAAGATTATCAATTAGCTGTGCAAAGGAAGAATATTTTTTTCTTCTGCAAACAGCTGCATTATTGTGTACTTGCTCCTTCATGTTATCAAGATGGCAAAACCCGACTGTGATGCCACAATCCTGAACAGAACCTATTACTTGGAAAGGAAATTCTTACAAAAAGCCTCAATTCACATATATCTGAGAAAGCTCAAGGGCTGAAGAACAGAAGCTCTCACCCTCTGACTTTAGGGTTTGAAGCATGGAACTGTTATGCACCAAGGAAAGGTACAAGCAGTAACTCATTGAGGATTCCTTAACACCCTAGGCAGGGTCCAAAATTCTTTTGACATACATCTGTATAAACTATGTGATGTTAAATCAATGGCACATGTTCTGGCTTAAATTTTAAGTCTAGATTCCCTCAGGAAGATGACAAGAATCTTCTTTACTTCAGCACCAGTGCTAGCAGTCTCAAAGTTTAGGACTTGGTGATAGATGATAACCAGCATTTGACCCTCTTTACACCGAAAAATCAGCTCCCTGTTATCCAATTTTCTTGGCACGTTTATGAAAATTAAAGGATGCCATTTATTTAAGCAAAAGTTACACTGTCTTCAACTGACTTTCCAACTTGATGCATACAAAGAATCACAGCACAATACAAATGGTGAACAAGAATCACTTGTGGCTAAGAACCACTTTTCTCCAGGCAGTGCATCTTTCGGGGAGGGGCGTATCAAAACCCCACAAACACAGTTTAGGATCCAATGGAACAAAAATTACTGAGGTTAGCAGGTATTTTGCATGTTAGTGGCTGGTTTTACTTTCCACAAAGCAAGAGGCTTATGCTTATGCTCAGCTGTAACATTTGAGTTTACATCAAGTACAAACCAGTCACAGATGAAATAGTGTGAAAAGATGTATTTTCATAGGGACTACTTTTCTATCTGTGACGAGACTCAAAAGTATTTCTTCCTTTCCATACCTTCTTGTAATTCAAATTAAACTGACCAAACCTAATATGTGCACCCAAAGCCTCAACAGATCAGCAAGTGCAAGATGTGGCTTAAGCCACAGTTAGATTCAATATCTGGATTTTATACTTTACCAAGGACAATTGACAGGCTATTTCACCATTAAACAAGATGGAATGCTACCTCCTCATTCCAAAGGCCTCTGGATTACTTTCTCAGAGAAACAAGAATATTTAACAGACTGGAATATAGAAATCTTGGAGGAGTTGGGTTTTTGTTGTTGTTGATTTTTTGTTTGGTTTGGTTTGGTTTTCTCTTTTTTTTTTTTTCAGTTTCCTTACGAATGTGGATTGGCCAGATGCAAATTATGATCGTTAGCAGGAAAACCAAAAACAAACACTAAAACCTTCAGATTCACACATCAAACCAGAAAGAAAAAGGGAACCAAAAAACAGCAACAAAAAAAAAACATTTGAAGCTTACCACTTCCAGTCTAAAATCTGGCATCTACAACTCCATTTCTTCTTCTGCACAGCCGGAAATTTCCAGACTAGCATATGCATGTGGAGACATGGCAGTCTGTTGGGATTCAGGGAATGTTTCAGTTTGTGGGTCAAAAGCAGCTCCTGCCGTTGGCTGCTTCGCTTGACACGCTTCTGTACTCTGTTGCTTGAAGTTCTTAACAGAAACAGACTTCAGTTTATCTGTGAGAAATTCAGGAAGAGGTTTCCAAAGTACCAGCTCCATAGAAGGACGGCTCCTAGAAGGGATGGAGTCTCCATTAAATTCAGGTTCTCCAATCACAACTGTCAAATGCAGAAGACCAGTATCTTCATCCTTTGTGCTAGCCTGGAACTATATTCCAGAATCCATATACCTTTTTTTTTTCCCCCTCCCCTATTAAATTACTTCTTCCTTAACCAGTTCCATTACCAGTTCTAACTCTGTTTTCTTTCTTTTCTTTTCCACCAAAGTTGACCACTGTTGGTCACACTTCAGGACCACCTCCTTTGGAAACTCACATACATAAAAATAAGATATAATGGTTTATTCAACAAATTTCACTCTGGACAAACGAAGAATACAAAATAGACAGCCTGATGACCTCTACAGTTGCACACACTTCTCTTTTACATCAGGATAGTTCTTCCCCTGTCTGAGCAGATGAATGGTCTGTTACACAATGTTGGCTGCGTCATGCCAGCAATTAAGGATATCTCCACAAATATGAGAATGGGTCTCTCTTTTCATTTGCATGTATTAGCTACATAGCACCATGATATCCTCCAGAACTTACATAGACTCTATTATTTTCTTTGTCAGGACTTCACCAAAATCCCTCTTCATCCCTTTCTTAAGGGTATCTGACAGGATAAGAGTGGGCAGATTGCTAACATTTCCATCAGCATGAACTTCCTCATCTTCATCAATTATCCTAGGAATGGAGGGGGAAGAGGGAGATAAACACTATTGAGCATACTGTTAACAGGCACATCCACTGCAAACTACAGTTCCATCTACGTGCACTGCGCTGCAGCGCAGCCACAGGACCTAGGCTGGGTACCAGAAGCAGCGGGGCCACGTCAACACGAGTCTCTCTTGGGACAATACACACTAAGAAAGACTGTCACCACAGAAGCCACTCAGGCAGCTGTGCCACTTCTGGTACCTGAGCTAGCTTTGTTAGCCCTGCATCACCCAGCAGCGCGCCACGCAGACACATGAGAAAGTAAGTTCACTTTGGGGAAAACTGTGCCACCCAGTCCCATCACAAGAGTGAGTCTCAGTTACACAGCAGCTTTGCCTCCTCAATTCCCTATATCTTAACTGTGAGAATGACTGCAAAGCTAACAAATAGAGTTCCTAACTTTTAATGATGTTGCACCAGTTCCTCAGAGATTAAAATGGCACAAAAATTCAAAGCATTTACAACAAACAAACTGAAATGGTCTCCTTTGTTTCTGGTAAACCTTTTAAAGAAAATTCAGCAGAGTAGCTGAGAAGGATGAGCAATGATCCTCTGAGAGGTGCAAAGCAGACTTTGTAGCGCAGACAGAGCCTGATAATAAAGACATGTATCATTACTCTGATTTACCCGCAAAAAAAACCCCAAATGAACATATCTAACAGTGCCTTGCTTCCCTTCAAACATCATCTATGGAGTAATCATCTAAAAAAAATAAAAATAATAAAAAAAAAAAAATAAATCTTGTTTTGTAATGTATGTAACTTTTGGCTTTTCTAACAACCATCTGCACTGTCCTTTTAGATGCTTGGGAATACTAGCTCAACTGCAGTCAACTCATCTCTACATGTAACATCCCCAGAAATCTTTCAAAGGCATGAATGCACAGCATGCTTATTAAATCACTGCAAAAGACTGCCCACAGCCACCTAAAATTACCCCAGTATCAAGCTGTTTGGTATTTAACAGCAAGATGAACCTCAGTCCTATTGCATAGGTGCAGAGAGGTCTCTCTGGGTCATGTTATTCTCTACAGTGATGAAGCCACATCTCTCTTCAGTATTTGCAAGTATTAATCACAGAACAAGCTGCAGCTGGTCAAAAAAAGCTGAGCTCAAGCCAGACCAGGTAACACCAGTTAAAATTCTGAAATCTGGGATAGGAGCTAAAAAGCATAAAACCCAACGATGGTGTACTGGTGCTGTACACTGACTGTGCAAAGGGGGTTGGGTATTCAGCATCTCTTGCTCCAACACCCTCAATTTCAGATCACAGTATCAGCCCCAAGACTTACTGGACCATAGGCAGCCTAAAAAGAAGTCACTTGAACAGAAGGTTCATCTCAGACTTACAGGAGTTTTACAAGACTGCTAAGTGCCAGATTAACCCCTTAATGCCCAGGAAAAAAAAAGGGAAAGCTCAGCAAAGCCAATCTACTCAAACCCTGCATTTACCTGTCCTCAATCTCCTGAAGCTTCCTGCGGGCAACCTCGCATTGCTGTTCCCCCATTGTCTGATCCATTTCTTCACAGGGCATTTCTAACATGGCAGTTTCAGGACCGCTGCTACCATACTGACTTGCTACCTCCCCAGCTGCCTGCTGACCTGCACAGAGAATCCATTCTTCAGTGCTGGGATTCAAAGGGCAATTTTTGGCTCCTGTCAGTCTCTTCTTCCGCACAGGACAACTAGGAAACAAAGTAAGTTCACAACTGTCAACAGAGAAACGTAGCATTCTACAGGAAAGATGCTATAGAAATCATGTGCACTTAAACGGATTTGACACACAATGGAAAAACAACCTCCACACAGAAAAGAAATCCACACTGCTCATGTTAAAATGTGGGCACCCATGCAAGAAAATCAGTGCAACACAAGAAACTGAAATGGATTTGGACTCAGATACAGTTCAGGGGAAGAGTTTCAAATGGAAATGCCAACAGAATTTCCCCTCCTGTGTATGCTGTAGATGAGATGTGCTCTGCTCTTCACAGAAAATAAACACAAATTAAGATTTTTCCATCTATAAAAGACAAATTTAATTTACCCTTCTGCCTCTTCTTCGAGCTTATGCTTCTTTCCACAACGAACAGAGATGCTGTAAAAGAAAAGCAAATTGTTACTTAGCTTCTAATTATATCTTATCAGTGACACTGAGATTTTCAAACAGTATTTCCCTCTCTCTTAAAATTCCAGCTGCAGCTAAGAGCAACAGTTGCATTATGTCACTAGCTGTGAAAGGAGTGGAAGTTTTGCATAATAAACAATCGCTTTATTCCAAAAAAAGTCAAATGCAGCTATAATTGATTGGTTCTCTGAGCAAAATTCCATGCCACTTTCTCCTTTTTTTACATTATTTTTTTCTACAAGGGACAAGACCAATTTCTGCTAAAACTCAAATGCTTCAAGAAGCAACATGTGAACCAACTTGTCTCTTTATACATTGTCTCACAGTGACATCCTCAAATATGACCAAACAACAACAGTTTATGGAATAATTTAACGTTTTTTGTGCACACATAGAAGAAAGAGCAAGCTATAAAAAGAAAGTAAAACAAGGTACATGAGCTGAAAAGCACGTCAAGATGTTGGTAAACTTAATCACATTGCTTTCCTTTTAGAAGGCTCCTTCATTCCCCACCTACAAACTTCAAGGCTGCCAAGCGAGCGCAATGCAAGTCTAACACCACTCTAGTGGAAGAAAACAAATTATAACCCGCCTCGAAAACTTATGTCACGCTGCCAGCGCAGCTGAGAAGTACGCTCCTGCCCTGCTCCAGAGGTAGCGGGTTGGGCACTTACTGGCCGCGGCCCGGCTGCTGGAGCAGGCCGTGCGGCTGCGCAGCGCTGGTGAAGGAGCCCACCGGGGCCACCGGCAGCCCCTCGTTGTAACTCCCGAGCGCGGCCAGAGCAGCGACGTCAAAGCT